ATAAAAAATTTTTCTTTTAAAATTCCATAAAATTCATACTTCCTTTTTTCTTTTTAAAGGCTTTAAAAGGTAATATAAATTCTTTCAATATTACTTTTGTGAAATATTTTCGTTGTGGTATAATTTGGTAGAAATTTTAAACAATTCATCCTTTTTTAGATATAACTTTTACTATTATTATTTGATATATCTTTTGTTATTATTATTTGATATATTTCTTATTATTAACTTTTGTTACTATTATTTGATTACTTGATATATTATCGATTATAATGGGAGAGGGGTTTGGAAAGTACGGGATGAAAACGTTTAATATTAGCAATTTAATGCCATCAAATTATTTGAAGAGGAGAATGCATTGTCACAAGTTGAAAAGTATGGAAGACAGGACATGCAAATTGGCATTGGCATGCACTTGAAGGGAAAGTTGAATTCTCTGAATAAATTTACATATTATAAAATCGTTTTGAAATAATTTGATGAAAATGGAATGTAAATTGTATAAAGAATAATGTCATTTCATATTTTAATCATGAACGAGAAAAAAAATATGCATAAATAAGTTAAATGATTTAGGTTTTTAGCTATTTTTTGTAAAATTTAATCTGTAATTTAAAAAAAAAAAGTTTTAATTTTTTAATAATTTCTTCTGTACAAATAAATATTTAACAAAATAATCATCGAAAATTTTGATCATTGTATTGACAGCTTTTATTTGCTTACATTTAATTTATTGCAAAATTTATATTTTATTATTTTAAAAGTTGAAATATTAACCAATATTTCAAAAGTAGCAAAATGTATAAAAAAATGAAACACATAAATAATTTTTAAAAAAAATTTTTTTTAAAAATTTTGTAGGATTTCACACTTGATTTTTATTTGCGACAAACGTGGCAAGATCCACGGTTAGCGTTTGGTGATTTATATTATGGTTATCAAAAAGAGAAAATTGAGTCTTTAACGGTATGTACATTTAATATATTTCAATTCAAAATTCATACATTTTGAATTGTTTCAATTAAATTTCTATTATTTCACGCATAACTATTGAACATAATTGATGAGGGCAGAGATTTTGAAAATAGTGGGAATAGCTTTATTCTGGATTTAACTTCAAAAAAAAAAGAAAAGTTTTTTTTTGTACCTGTTCCTTAGACAATGATTTCAAAATTTCCTAAGCTCTCATCATTCTCCCTTCTCTCTTTTTTTTTCTTCAATGTAGCAACAAATCGATTGAGAAAGAAAAATGTGGAAATGAACAATTTCTTTTCTTTTAGTGATGAAAAATATATGTTCATCATGATATAGTTTTCTGAAAAAAAAAAATTTCTTTTTTTTTTTCTTGAAAAGTTGGACAAGCGAACTTTGAATTGAAGATGGCAACAAATTTGGAAATGCTTCAACCTTTTTTTCTTTTTGCAAAAATACAATGAACTCAAATTTCTTTTAATTTGAAAAAAAAATGAGTTTCAACTTTTATTCATTATATGCAATAATTTTTTTTTTTGATTAAATATATTTTAAATAAAAGTCAATTTGATTTTATTGGTAAATGAAATGAAACAAAATGATGGCATATTTATTTTACATATAAAATAAGTCGAATAGTATTAATGTTTGAAAATTTTTTTTAAGAAAAAAATTTTTCAATAATTATTTTCATTTTTAAAGTTTGGAAAAAAAAGTAAGATAAAACAAGCAGTACAAAATATTTCATATTGAATTGTAAACATTATCAGTTTACAACTCAATTTTATCTCTTCATGACAATCATCATCTCAGGTTGGTGTAGATTATTTGGAGAAACTTTGGAAACCGGATACATTTTTTCCGAATGAAAAGAAATCATTCTTTCATACTGCGACAACGCATAATTCCTTCTTGAGAATCGATCCCGATGGCACCGTTTTTACTTCCCAAAGGTTTTTTTTTTTACCACATATGTATAATTATTTGTGTTTTTTTCTTGACAAATAGCATCAAAAGTTCAATACTTCTTTCTTTTGTTCAAAATTTATTAATTATTACTTTATCGATTATTTACAATTTCTTTACTTATCTGGAAAATCTTATATTATTTATTATTATCACTACTATTATTATAATCATATCAACATCACTACAATTATTGCTAGTATAATTAAAAAATTAGAATTTTTAAAAAATTAACTAAAAATTATTAAATATTTTATCGAAGGTTGAAATTTGAAGTCGAAAAAAAGAGAAAAACATTTGTTTTCTTCTTTTTTCGAATCATTTTATTTTCTGTTATTTCTATCAAAAGTAATAATCATTTAACGAAGTTAATTCAATTCTTAACAAAACTCTATGCAAAAACAACATGGAGGAGGAAAAAAGTTAATGAATGATGTAAATATTTAAATAAACTTAATATCTTTTATGCAAATACATTTACATTAATTCACCATTAGCATATTTTCAAACATTAGCATTTACATCAATTAGCAATAATTCTCACTCCATCTCCTTCTTCAAACAATCATTTATCACAAAATTTTCATTAGCAATTTTTTGTCAGTTGATGATATCAATGATAGTTAGCAATATAGCATCTCTTAATAAAACAAAAAAAAGAAAAATTGGATGCTATATTTTTTTTCTAAAAAAAATTTTTTTTTTGATGATTAGTTAAAGAAGCATTTTATGGATGACATAAGAAAGGATGGATTTAAAAATGAGAAAAATGGTTGTTGAAGATGAAAAAAAGGAAGGAAACAGTGTATAACATTCTTTTTTTTTTTTTGTTTGACAATTTTTAGAGAGAATGTATGAAAGAATGATGAATGAGAGGTTTGAGAAAGTAAATAAGTTGGAGAGAGTGGCATGAGAGAGAGAGAGAGAAAGAGAGAGAGAGAGGAAGGGAAAGAGTGGCTTAAAGGAGGAAATTGAAATTTGGTAAGCGTAAAGTAAGCGTAAATGGGAAACAATTGAGCAAAAGATGGATATATATTTAATTTAGTTTGTAGGTTATATCATTTCTTAGTTTATGGAAACAAAAAAAAAAGCAAGAAAAGAATTTTTATTCAAAAGAATAGATTTAGTTAATCTATAACTGCTCAAATTTTGAGAAATAATTGAAATTTTTCACTGATCCCTTTTAATCTTACCAAAATATATTTTGCTCCAAAATTTCAATGAGAAATTTGATGTGCGCAAAAGTGCTGTTTATGCATGTGTAATATATTTGCATAAAATAGCAATACATCATTTACTTTCTTTTTGCTTCCAAACTTCCAAATGCCAATAATTAGTATTTTCAAGATTACATACATAGTTTTTCACTATTTCATTAAAACAATTTGCATAAATGTGCATTTTTTCTCCCCTAATATTTCTTTTTAGTAATTCGAAAACAAAAATAATTGGCTAAATTTAAGCATACTTCAAAACATCGGATTTCTATCGAAGTTTAATTTTTTTACGGAAATGAAACGAAATATCACTTTATCAGTTAATATCAATGGCAATAATCAATCCTTACATCATCGAATTCTGCATACATTTTAATAAAAAAATTTATTTGACAGTGCAAAAATTAAAATGAAATTTTTGCAAAAAAAGAAGGTAAAAATGAACATCAAAAACCAAACAAACAAAAAATTGATCAATCGTATATATTATTATCTCAACAATGATTTCATGAAATACTCGATGACAGTTAATATTGAAAATAAAATTCGGGGTCATTTCTATTATAGGTTAACGGTGACAGCAACATGTCCTATGAAATTGCAACTTTTCCCGATGGATTCACAGAAATGCAAACTTGAAATCGAAAGTTGTAAGATTCCTTTCTTTTTTCTTTCAAAAATTTCGAACTCTTTGCGAGTATTTTAAAAAGGCTAAAAAAAGCACAATTTTATATAACTTTCTTGCAGGTAATCAAGATTTTTCACTTTTTTTTTCACCTGCAAAAACTTGCAAAGTTTTAATTTTTTTGTAATTTAACCTGTCAATGTTCAAAAAAAAAATGCCGTCATTTCATTCGGGTGTAAAATGAGGTGCTAAATTGAAATTTAATTAAATTTTGTTCTTTTTACTTCATAATTCAACCTGTTTGCTTTGAAAAATTAATTTTTAATTTAATATGCTCTGTTGTATTCACTGTTAAATTTCTTATAGGGTGCACCAGTGTCTCTCTTTCACTTATTGTTAAATTTTTTTTTGTTATTTTTGATAAATTAAATTTTTTGAATTGTGTATTATTATTTTCAAGTCTATTTGTTTCATTTTTTTTCTCTGCTTATCATCAAATTTTGTTTAACTTTCAATCTATAAGAGAAAGAAAAATTGAAAGTTAACATTCATTTTAAATAATCCCAGGTGTATTTGTAATGAAAGATTTAAAATTAAATTATATGTAATTAGCAAATACTTGACAGTAGTATTACATATATTTATTTAAAGTGAAATTTTATAATACCGTCAAATGCATTTCTCATTCATTAAGCTTTAATTGATAAGTATTCAAATGATATGAAATATTTAGCAATGTTTTTAATTGTTATTTTTATTTGATTGCTGTATGTACTAAAATAATGATAATTGTGATAATTGAATATGTTATCATTTAATGTTATTCAGTATGCTTAAGAAAAATTATGATTGTACGAAAATTGGTTGTGATAGACGTGTTGTTACGAAGTCTCATGTAAGTTAATTTTTTTATCCAATCCATATTCAAACGCAGTTCAAAATTTGAAAATTTAAAGTAAGCTTAAATTCATTACTTTTCACTAATTGTTTTACAGTTAATTGCATTGACTAATGAAATATATCATTTAACCCTTTCTGATCATGGAAAATCTCTTAAAATATTCAGTAAAAAATATTGCAATTTCCTAAATCACCAAACTGAAAAAGGAATCTAAAAAAATTTTCAATTTTTGCTTAAAAAAGCACAATATATTTTAATTGGATAATTTAGAATTGAAGTAATGGTTGACAAAATTTGAAATATTTCAAAATGAATAGACTGAAATGTAACCAAATTTCATAACCCAATAACTTTTTGACTGTTTTTTTTTTCCTTGTTTTCATTTTCCACTTTATTCCTTGGTAATTTAATATATTTTTTCGTTAGCTAACAAATTCTTTTCATTGATTACGTAAACAGGAAAAAATTTACAAAATTTAAAATGTCATATCTTATAAATCATAATATTATGGCTTTTTATGATTATTCTAATGCTTAAGCTTGGCATTTTCTTTACTTTCCATCACTCTTCATTACTGTGATAATTCGAAATTAATAATTTTGTCGGTTTATTTTGCATTTTTTTTCGTTAAAATTCACTGAATTTTGTTTCAGACTGTAGAAAAAGTATGCTTGAATGATTTTATATTCTAAAGTTATAGCAATCATTATAGTACGGTGAAATTATTCATACAGTATCAAATATATTTACATGATCATACACAGTACCGAATATATTTACTTGATCATACTCATACAGTATCGAATATATTTGATTGTATGATTATGATTATGTGATCATACTGATATCGCCGCACAATGACCGTTTTAGAATACAGTCATTTTTCCGGAAAGTGAGAGTTAAATTGTCGTGACCGTATTACGAAAAAGATTTGATGATGACTGAAATTTATTCATTTAATAATTTTCATGATTATTATTTCTTGATTAAAATTAGTTGCGTTATTAAAAGTTGAAAATATTGCAACTGTGAGAATGAATGAAGCACAAGTAACCAACAAATTGGTGTAAAAATTTAAACCTTTTTTTAAATTATTAAATAATCTGTAATAAATGAAGGGCAGTCAAAAATTAAACTATACTAAAATTATTAAAATTCGTAGTTAGAAGTATAAACATTAAAAAAAAAACAATTTCTGGTATTATTTTCTATCTACAAAATAAAACTAAAAATAAAAAAATAAAATATCTAACCCAAAGAAATTGCTTGATTTTTTTGGCTTCTTCAATTCCCAATTCACCGTTTATGCCTGATAATAAACAATCAACTTTATTGCCTTCGATAACGCTATTTTCATTGTTTACTTTCATTTATGCTTATATTTTGCATTTATGCTAATTATTTTTACTACTACCGTTATATGGCACTGGTGCACACATCACTTTCAATTTTTGTTGCATTTTATTTAAAAAAAAAAAAAGAAAGAGAAGAAAAAAACAATTCATTTGTATGCAAATTTGTAAAAATATTTTGGAAATTTTGAAAATTGAAAAAAAAATTAAATTTCTTCTTTTTTCTTCATTTGTTAAGCTATTTTTTAGATGGCTATACAACTGCTGATATAGCATTATTCTGGGGCAAACATCGCAGAGATCAGGGTCAAGTAGTCGGGTTCGAGAATATTTCGCTGCCACAATTCAAGCCTGTCGGTTATCGGGTAAATGTTACCAGGGCAACCACTTCTTCAGATGAGTCTTTCTTACTTTTTTCTTAGAAAAAAATAAACAAACGGAATATTTTGGAAAATTCAAAAATGTTCAATTTCTTACTTTTTTTTTTGCTTACTGTTGAACTATTTCTCAATCTTCGCATATTGCGTTCATTTCAATTTTTCTTTTTTTTTAATAAAAGTAATCATAGTTTAATGTTATCATCATTATTATTATTATCATTTTTATTATTATCAATAACAACGGATAATAATAAAGCAAACAAAATATTGCTATATTTGATGAGATGAAGAAAATATCAAAATTAAAATTACACAAACAAATAGATATTTGAAATTTAAGATAGAAGGAAAGAAAGATAGATTGAAGTTTTCAATCAAAAGTCGCCAAATTTTTCAAAATTTTTTTTTACAACTCACAAATATTATTGCTTATGCATTTTGCTGAATGAGATAAATAATATATCAGTTTACGGATAATGGAATACGATGACAAATAATTGAATTTATAGAATGGAAAAATTTGCAAAAGCAAACTAAATTATATATTTCCTTTTTTTTTTTAAAAATACAAAATTGATATAAAATGCAGGAAAAAAAAGAATGATTTATGGCTTCATTTTTAGCATCAAAAAATTGAAAAATTCATGATCACCACTTTTTTTTTGCAAAATCTTATAGCCTAGGGACATGGAAGCTTAGAAATTTGCCTCAACACTAATTTTATCCTTCTTCTATTAAGGCTCTGAGCCAAAAAGAATTCTGTCTATATTGGCCAATATTTATGTATCATTCAATTTTATTTATCTCTCTTTTCCTCTCCCATTTCATTCCATTCTTTATGCAACCAAATAATGTGTGGAATTTAGTGCCATTCATTCTCTCTCATTCATTCAAAAATTCATCAAACATTACTTCGAACTTTCTATGAATACACTTGAAATTCTTAATGAGGGAAGCACTCAAATGTGATAGGAAAATGGAATGAATTGTCAAAATCCATCAAAGATAAAACGGTATTCTTTCCAGTTAAAAAAAAATTAAACAGCAAAAAAAAATTAGTGAAAATGAGGCGCAATCTTATTATTTATGCAACAATTACTTTTAATACGATTTTTTTTTTCTAAAAAAAGGAAAAAAGAAAAATAATGGAAAAAAGCGAATGAGAAAAAGATTAATTTTTTAAAATAATTTGTAATTTTTGAAAAAAGCACAGTTTTTTTCTGCTCATTTTTTCCCTCTTTTAACATTTTTTATAGTATTGAAAATAAGAAAAAAAGTTTTTTTTTTTCTTAATCTATGATTGTTGCAACATTCAAGGAAAGAAAAAAAAAACGTTAAATTTATATTTGAAATTATTGATTTAACTATATAAAAGGAATGANGAGTTCTATTCAAATTTTATTGCTTTAAATATTTTCAANAATAAGTAGGGAAAAAATTTGTAAGAAAAATTAAGAAATGATTAAGTGAATAAATCAAAAAATAAACAAAAAAGGAATAAGAATAACGAAAGAAATGAAGAGAATGCAAATTTAAACAAAAAAGTATTAATATAATATTTACTGACTACTGATATGTGAGTAATTAAAATGCATATACAAGTAAAAATATCATTACAGGTGTATATGTTCGATTGTATTTTGAAGTGTTGTTGGGTCGTAATCTCGGTTTCTACCTCATGAATATTATCATTCCTTCCATGCTTATTGTCACCATTTCTTGGGTATCATTTTGGCTCAATCGTGAAGCGTCACCGGCACGTGTCGGTCTTGGCGTTACTACCGTACTCACAATGACTACACTTATTACTACGACTAATGTATGCTTCAATTTTTGTTTTTTTTTTTATTAAACTTTTCAAAAATAAAAATATCGATAAACTTTGAATTTTGCAGCATAATGATAACTAGCATTTCAAAACAGTTAAAATTCACTTACTTAGATGAAGTGTTCTAGTTTTTTCTTCAAAAAAATTTTTTAAATTGCTAATGAAATTTGTAATCTTTTTCAATTTTTTAAATTCTTAAAGATGGATTTGAAAATGTATTGATCATAACATTTTGCACTTTTAAAAATAATGAAACTCTGAAAAATAATATTTAGTTTTATGCAAAGATATTTTTTTGTTTTTTTTATTCTTTCATATTTTTCAGAATTCGATGCCAAAAGTTAGTTATATTAAAGGACTTGATGTCTTCTTGAATTTTTGGTTAGTTTTATTATTGCAACTGTTACGATAAAATGTGTTGGAAATTATCAATACAAAGAATAACAAAATTTGTTGCCCAAAATTAAAAGCTTTCAAGGAGACAAATATCTGCTTATCAACTTGTAAAAACAAACGATTTAAATTTAACAAAAATTTTAGTGTGAATAAGTTTTGTGAAGCAAATTAAAAGATAGAAATGGATTTCAGTTTTGTGATGGTATTTGCAAGTTTAATTGAATATGCTGTAGTTAGCTATATGAACAAAAAATTAGCACAAAGGCGTGAAAGGCGAAGAAAGCAAGCGGAGCAACGAATGCCTGTTGAAATGCCTATGTACAGTCAAGTTGCTTCAAATGCTGAAACAAAAATGGTAAATTATTTTTTTGCAATGCAGTAAAAGCACCAATATTACAATTGCTTTATGCTAATTTTAAATGTTAAGAAAAAAATAAAATAAAGAAGTAAAAATTTCATTTTTTTTTTTGTTCAAAAAAAATTAGATAAAATGACGAAAAGTTAGGGTTGAAAGAATAAACATTATTTCAGTCATATCAAAATATGACTATTATCAATGATAATTATGCCTCGCCCGGTAAATCCTCCATCAAAGTAAGTGAACTGTCAATAGACTGTATCACATCTCGGATAGTTTCTATCCATCATTATTTTTAATCTAATTTACACTCTTTTTTTTGTACGAAATTTATGGGTAAACAAAAAAAAATAGGTGTAATGTTAAATATGATTGTTGTAAAGCAATAAATATGCAACTGCGTCCAACAAATTAATTTTAATCAAATGCAAAAAAATGACAACAATTATGGCAAAAACAATTAGTAAGTCTGAAAGAAAGTTTATTAAATAATTATTCTTTCAGTTTGATTAGATTTAATTATTAGTGAAAAAAATGGATTAAATTTGGGGGAAAAACTGCAATTTCAGCTGATTAAAATGAACAATAAATATGAAATTATATTTAAGTTATATAAAAAAGCTAATTAGCATCACGCTGCATGCAATAGCAAGCTAACGGTATTGTCCAAGGTGAACACGTAAATGTTTTCACGTAAAATGCATGGTATGTTTATTATTTATTAGTAACTTCTGCGTTTCATACTACTAACTTTTCAGCGAATGGATACGTATCTTAGTGGTCCAGGACAAAATTCTAATATGGTAAGTTTTGTCGTGAATTTAATTTGACAATAAACAATCTTATCATTTATCTATTAGCATTTGTTTCTCGAAATTTTTTAATGTAAATTTAAGAACAAAAGTGCAGAATTTTACTAGACTTAAACTAGAATGTTATTTTTAAAGTTTTCATTTTTTTTAATTTTCATTTTCTTTTTTTAGTATTAAAATTTTTAATCTTAAATTTTCTATTTTAATGAAATAATGTATGCAGATGGTATCAGAAGCGATGATGCCAGAATGTGATTGTCGTACAATACCGTTAATACAGAATCCACGTTTGGTAACAGATCGAACATTATGGCCAGCACCATTTGTAAAACCAAAACGTGCATCACGTACGTGTAGAAGCGTAACTCCATCTAAAATTGATAAATGTTCTCGCTTCCTCTTTCCTATGCTATTTTTCGCTTTTAATTGTAAGTTTTCGTTTAACAAATTCAATCGAAAAATTTTTTTCTGCATTTGATTGCTAATCTAATCATTATCATTTTTAAAATTATAACTTATAATTGTTTTTGCAATTTTTGATGAAAAAAGAAAAGAAAAATAATCCTACAATAAAACATAAAAATATTCACTTAAAGAGAAAAAAAAACCTAAATAGAAATTAATTTAATTAAAATTTATAATTTTCAGTATTTTATTGGACAATTATGACGGTACTAAGTTCGTTCATCGATACCAGTGAATATACATTATTTAACTGAAATAATATAAACCAAAGCAGACAGGACAATCGAATATCAAATCACATATCTTATCATCGATTCTGTCGAATTTTTATTTTTTCTTTTTTTTAAGGAAAGAAAAAATAATTGCCATAAATTGATAGATTTAATAATTGTGCTTAATAATTGATGCATATTTGTTGTAGCTGCAAACATTTCACTTTATATGTTTCGTGATTATATGTAATATACCGGCACGATGCATGCATGCACATGTGCATTTATTTGCCTTATAAATAATAACTATTGCTAGTTTAATTAATACAATGATTTGATTACTGTAATTACTTATAATTACTAATTACTATGATATTAGCATTGTAATATTATATATGAATAGACCTGGTGCATCTGGCCCTTTTTTTCTTTATTCTTCCATTATCTAATTTAATTTTTTCATTTTCATTTTTTGCTTTTAATTTTACATCAAAATGGATTGTTTTTACAAAAATTTGCATAAGTATTAGCGAAATATGTTATGGGCAAAGATTAAATGATTAAATGATGTAAAATAATCTTTAAAGATAGATTTAAAATGAAAAAAAAATTGCATTTAATGAAGAAAAAAGAATTGAATGAGAAATCGTACGATTATCATTTACAACAAAGATACCACATAATATTGTGGAGAAAAGAAGAGAGACTTATAATTTGAATTGTAAAAATTTCAATTTCAAGTTAAATTTAAATTTCTTCAAGCTAAATTAAATTTTTTGAATTTCTAAAAAAAAGGAAGAAAAAGTTTTTTCTTCAAGTTAAATTAAATTTTTGAATTAAAAAAAAAGAAAAAGAATGTTTATCCTGATATTTATCTTGGTTGACAAAATTATAAAAATGGTAACTTTTTGTGAGGCCACTTTCTCTCTTGCAATGATAATTCCAGGTTGAACTCTGCTTTTTTTTTCCTTTTTTTTTTTTTGAAATTTCACTCCTCCTTCAATTTACTTATAGAAAATTTAAAAGAAAAGGACAATATAATGTAAGAAAAAAAAAAATTGAGATGGTTACACTGTTGCAACAGTACATTATCATTGGTGTCAACTAAAAGATGTCCACTGCAAGGCAGCTGTCAAAGTTGAGCCATTTGAACTGACAAGCTATCGATTTGCAAGCTTATGTATTAATCAAACAATCGCAACAACATCATCCGGTTAGTTTGATATTATTATTTTCTTTTGAAATTTATTAAATATATGTATGGATCATATAGGTAGATTATCCCGATCAAAATATGTGGAATGTGCATATAGATTGAAAATAATATTAGTGATAGAAAAGCAATTATTACAAACAAAAAAATACAGGCAGATAAAAGCTATGTTTTGGTAATATCGATAATATCACCAGTTATCAGTAATTATTGAAAGAAGTTATCCCTTCTTTAATCATTTAAAAAAAAAATATTACAAATATTAAATGGTTGAAAGCAATTGAAATTGTAATTTGTTAAATCAGAAATTAATTTAAAATTAAGAATTGATAAATTATGAAATCTGTTCAGGTTCTTATTCACGATTATGGGCGCAATTCGTACTCAAAAGAGAATCCAGCTTTTACATAATTCAGATTTTTCTCCCTGCAATGCTTGTCGTCTTCATGAGCTGGGTGTCATTTTGGATCAATCCCGAATCAGCTCCATCTCGTACGGTCATTGGGACATTTACCGTATTGAGTGAAACTCATCTCCTGATGAGTACTAATAGACGACTTCCGCCTGTTTCCTACATTAAGGTTGCTTATTTCAGTAAGTTTCGAATAAAATTTTCATTTCATATTTCGAAAGAAATTTTTATTCTAACACAAAATTTCGCAATGTTTTAGGCTGTGGATGTTTACCTTGGATTTTGTTATTTGAATGTAATCTTAGCACTTGTCGAATATGCTACTGTCGCGTATTCAAAGAAGAAGTATGAAGATCGAAAAAAAAACAAAAACAAAAATATCTTTGAATTAACACCACAGTTACAAGCACCAGATTTGCTTCAAGGTATGATAAGCAAAGAGATTGCAATAAAATTATATGTTAAAAATGAATTAGAATTTTATAGACGCTCGCATAGATGAATGTACTTGTGAAAAAAATGTTTTGGTGTTTGTGGTAGCTAAAGGCCCATCAAAATGCGCTAATTTTTGCAAGCACAGCAGCGTAGACCTTATTGCTCGAATTGTCTTCCCTGCATCGGTTTGTTATCATCTCATATTAGTAGTCCCTCATTCTCTCTTCCTACTGCAAAACACTACTTACTCTAGCAGTTTACCATGTTTTTGTAACTTTTTTGACAATGTTGGAAACTTTATCAAAAAATTCAATAAACTGTTTGCAAAACAAGGTGACAAAATTGCCAAAACTGAACATTAGGAAGACAAGATCAAGTAAAACGGCGGTAAATTACTTGTAAATAATTCCATAACTTTTTCAGTTCCTTGTATTCAATTTCATTTATTGGACAGTGCTTCTCTCCCTATCAGGATGGAACATGTACGAAGATAATATGGAACAAAGAATTTGTTAATATCATATCAATCATATGCTAAGATTCTAAGATATTAAGCAAATGTTTGAGTGATGCTAAAGCTCTTCGACCACAAATGCTTTGCGAAGCATCATTAAAACGTTTAAGTCTATCACTCGCCTTCCAAATTTCAGTGCTACTACATAATTCCTTCAATACTTCAGTCAAAGATTCTTGTAAACGTCTCTGCAATAATTACATTAAAAAAGAAATGTTTCAATAATTTTGAAATTCTAACAAATTTTAAACATTTTCCGGCAAATAAAAAATATGATTCCATAGACGAACATATAACTCAATGAAAAAAATAAAAAGAGAAAAAACGACCGCATCTTTTAATTCTTACCTTGTTTGATTCCTCGGTAATAGAAGCAAATGAAGTAAGAACTCGAACAAAATATGCAAAAAATCGAGGTTTTGAATCGTTGAGATTCAAATTTGAAAAGAATTTGTTTGCAAAAATGCACAAACATTTGGCAATTTTTTTCCATATCTTCTGCTGATCAAGCTCTTCGTTTTTCATCTGTAATTTAATTTGTTTATTTCATTGTCAAATTTGTTTTTCATATTTATTGTCTTTTATTAATTTTTTTATATAACCCTTCATTTTCGTCTGATGCAGAAATGAGTGTTTTTATACTTTTATTTCGAGATGTTAAATTTCAATTTAAAGTTTTTACTGTATTTCACTATGTAGTAAAATTTACTAACTTCCAATTCAAATGCCTCAAACAAGTTTCATGTGTTGTTTAACTATCATTTCAAACTATATGTCTGAATGGTTGCTCCTCTGGTATATATTCGGCATGAGTGATAATAATATCATGTTGAGAAAAAGATGATTTTAATTTCCAAATCCATTTCATGTCTGCATTATAATTCTTATGCAATCTCATGAAAGTGGTGTCTCTGCTGCAACAAGTTAAATTACCACTAAGTCGAGATTTGTCAAATAAAAAAGTAAAGGCCTGATTCAGATACATCTAATTATCAAAATTTGGATGTACTTTGCAAGATTTTATCTCTAGTGGTATATAACAGATGTTTTTTTTAAAAAATTTTTCATTTCAACAGAAATTATTTCTGCATCAATCTAGCACTCAATTTGCATCACTTATTTATCTGTAGTAAATTCAAAAGTACACATGAATAAATATATTCTTGTTGTTATAAAAATTACGAATATTTGTTATCATTGCTAAATAGATATCCATTATATTACATTTTACAAATATATAATACTCACCAAATCTTTCCGCAAAAAGGCTACTGCGCAAGAGAGAGCCCCAACCTAAAAAAATTGAAAACACGAATTTTGATCTGAGAAATATTTCTGACATTGGCTGTTTAAGTGAACATCTATTTCAACTAATGCTTAAGGAAAACTCAACGATAACTATCAGATATCAGCTGTACTTTATTTCCACCAAATGTATGACCACAGGTTTTTAAATGAAAAATGCGATTAAATATTGATAGAAATCAATCATCCCACAAAGGATAAAAACGAATTTGATTAGTCCCTAAAAGCTTAAAAAAATCTAATCACTGGAAGTTGGCAGTAAATGTATTTTTATTATTTGTTTCTGATCTTAAAGTAATATGCTAGAATATGAGTTTCCAATGAGAAAGTTAAATAGGAATGCAATCCTATAAAATCCTTTAAATATGTGCTGCTTGTAAACCAGAGATTAAGAACTGTGAAACAAGTGACAAAAAAATCATAAAATAAAAATTTGGAAATGATAAACGTACTCTTTGAAATGCTCGGATATTTTCATCAAAAGCAAATTCAATGATTCGTGGAAGTTCGCTTAACAAGGCATGCTAAAAATTATAAATATTTTTAAATTATGCTATACTGATCGAAACTATAGTAACTTAAATTTTAGAATGATCTGGAGAAATTACCGGATACTTAATGAAAGGAGCAGTGACAATTTCGCTTAATATTTGATTTTTGCTATCATTCATATACTTTTCCAACAATTCGATCACTTTCAAGCGCATACTCGCAGCAACAACATTTTCTTTTGCATCATAACAACCTGAGAACTAAAACAACGCAAAATAAACTAACTGATGTTATATTTCTTTTCCCAAATGATTCAAAAATAAAAAAGGACTTACCAGAAAGCTTGCAACATTACCAAGAATATTTCTCATAATAGGATTTATAGTTTGTGATGTTTTCAGGACAAGTTCATCCAGTAGTTTGATAGCATTCTTTTCATTTAACTCACTCTAAATAAATACAACTAGTGAGAATTACCGCACAAAAACATGAATACAGATGTGCACAGTATAACGACATTACCTTTTTGTGTTTTATAATAATTTCCAGTAAGTTTGCTGCTTTTTTGAAAGTTAATTCTCCATCTTTTCTACGCAGAGCCTGTTGAGCACATTCAACTAGAGGCAATATAAGATCCTATAAAGTACACAATTTGTTTACTGTTATTTGATTTCGAAAAAGTTTCAAAAGAAAAAATGATACATCATACCACTGTCTTGTATGTTCCTTCTTGATGAGATACTGCTATCAATAGTAAATCGAAACACTTAGCACGAAACTGTTGGGCCTGTTCTATTAAAAACGCACTAAGAGCTCGCGAATTTTTCATCCTTTTACGAAACACAGCTGCCAAGCCTTCATCCAAACGAAACATCGTTTCATCACTTACTGTTGATGATAAGCTATCCTAAAAATTATTTCTTTATGATGGAACAGCTTGAAAGGGAATAGATTGAAAGTAATCAAAGATTACCAAAATAAAGCAAATGGAGTTTTTAATTTTCTACTAACTATTGAGCGCTAGTTGTAAAATACTTTGAGAATATGAAATATATTTAGAAAAGAAACAGTAAAATTGAAACATTTATTACTTTTTTCTCTATTTCTCGCAAAAGATTCTGGTCTCTTGCTACAATTTCAATCCAACAAAAATTTTTTTAAGAAATCTCAATTACCTTATCACTATCATCATCAGAACGTGCAGCAGCGGAACCAAGCGCTATTTTAAGGCTATTGACAAAATCCTCATCAACTTCACTTTCCTCATCTTCTTTCTCTTCAAATTCAGATTCATCTATTTCCTCATGTTGATCGGTTATATTCCCATTAACTTCTGGAATAAATTACCAATATACTTCATTCGCTTCTCTTAAGCAATAAGTTTATCTAACGTGAAAATGAACGTAGATCAATCAAACCATTCTCTTCATTGCTTTGTTCAGAATTTTCATAGCTATTCTCATCTTTATCGTTTTCATCATCACTTTCGCTCGTATCTTTTTCTTGCATCAACTCTTCATTGCTGAGGTTTATAGTCTTTAAAAAATAGAAGTGTTGCAGCATAGTTCCAAGTACTAATGTCGCTACATACAAAAACTATGCAATGGGAAAAAATATCAATTCAAAAATTTCCGACATTGCACTAAGTGCAGATTGAAACTTTGACTTGGAAATAAATTTGAAACATCAAACAATAAAATTGAAACCTGAAGAATCTGCAAAAGATTTTCTAGTTTCATCCGTGGCACAAATGAAGCAAAGACATAATGAATGACTGAGCGATGATATCGATGTGGCCGACTTAATAAAGAGAGTAATAAATCATTGAGAACCTGAAAAGCATCAGCATAAATACACAAGCATTAAAAAATTTTTAAATTAATCAATTACAATAGATTTAATGTGATGAGAAATAAAAATTATTCCACAACTTAATGTCCTGAAACAAATGAGAAACGGATATTAAACATGCAGCAATGGAATCAAAGCATTTATTATAACTGTCATTCCAATAATTACTTGTATTCAGATAACTGGAAACATGTTAATTTAAAAAAATATGGTAAATATAAGTTAAAATATAATGTATGTTACCGCTATACTGTCGCTGCTATCGTCTTCAGCCATTTTTTCACCAATTGCTGCCGTCTCAGTAAGATCTTTTAAATATGAATGACGCTCATTCGGAACAGATGCTGTCGCCATCCAAAGTGTAAGCATATTCATAAAAACGGATAAAGTTCTGAAAAAACTTCAAAATGTTTTATTGTTCAAATAGAAATCAGTGATTAATGATCGAGATAACTTCTTACTTATGATAAAAATCAATAACGAGGAGTCTTTCCTTAAATATAAAAATTCAAAACTGTCTCATAAATAAACAAAAAAATCACTCGTTAACCACGGGTAGTTCAACTCCTGTGTCTTGCTTTTTGATTAATTTTTGTAACAGCTTTTGGTGCTCATCTTTATAAATCGTAGTCACATTTCTGCCTGCTCTTACACTGACAATGAATAAGGAAGCAATAGATGAACAAAAAGCATTACGCGTCTGAAATATTAAAAAGATTATGCCACAACAAGCAAATAATTTTAAACTTTACTTTCATAATTTAAATTGTAAAGAATCACGGTGACTAATTAAAAAATTAAATCAAAAAATTCACCTCTTCTGTCCATTTTCCATGTTTGAACAATAGTTTCAAAACATGTCCTTGGGTACTTGTAGGCCAATGTGGAAATACATGAGTTATCCGTCTTAATCTCCAACCACATTCTGTCAAAGCCTGTAAAACAAGTTTAATAAATTCAAAAGCGGACCAATTAAATTTTACAGCACGCTCAATGTTTGATCGACTGTTAAATTAATAATAGTATAAACTTATTAGTTACTTCAAGGACTATATCGTGAACATTATCATGAAATCGCAGTAGAATCTTTTCCGTGATTTTAACATTTCCGCCGATAAATTCATCAAAATTTCCACTTCCAACGCAATCGAAACTATTAAGCAATTTAGCAATGTTAGTTGATGTCCACTCTTTTGCAGTAAGCGACTAAAATAGAATATTCTTTTCAATATAAAAATCACATTTTTTTTAAATCATCAAAACTGTTAAAAGAACACATGAAGAAGAACATAAAGCTAAACTGCTATTATGAGAATTTTTATGTTGCAAAAAGATGCTGAAAAAAAACCTCTTTAAGAATTAGCAGGATAGCTTCAATCGTGGAGAACAAGAAACGAAATTCATTGCTCTTTCGCACTGATCTTACCAAACGCACGAATTCGGGAGAAAATATAGCCACGAGCTAAATTTTTTTGAGAAAAATCTTATTAGGCACTGAGAATCAGTAAAGAATATTTCAAAGAGAGAAAGCGCATACAATACTTTTATAGAAGGAAGAAATACAACCAGCAAAAACGGTACCTCATCCGTTTCGAAATCAATTTGTTGTAGCATCGTATTAATAAACGGTAGTGCGCGAGATATAACCTGAAAGTTGCATTAAATAGAGGAATGCAATGAGATCTAATCATTAGACAAAATTGCTCAGTTATTTATTACAAAACACTTTCGATTGATTGTAGACAAATTAAGAGCAATTTAAATTCCTCATAAGAAATTCATTATCTCAATGAAATATTTTATGATAACTGAAAAAATTCTTGACCAAACAATATCCAAATATGCTCATTATCAAATAAATATTAATCACTACCCTGTGTAAATCTCCATGATACAACCATTTTCCGACAATTTTACTGTAAACTGTTTCGAAATTTTTTGATGCTTGTGCGAGCATTAATAATTTCAATATCAATTCGTTCTCAGCAAAACCGGTCGCTTTCTTAAAAACTGTTTTAATATTTATTATTTTAAAGCTTCTGAATGCATTACAATTAAATGGCTTGAGTGATTTCTGACAATTTCAACGTTTTGTTAATGAAGCTCAAAAAACATGAAATAAAGTTCAGCATCTCAATCTTCAATGATTATTAGTGACCGAAATTAATTACAATAAATGGAACTTCTAGTATGTGAAAATATAAATCGAAATAACCTTCAGAATGTTGATTACCGCATCATAGTCTTTATCGGAAATATATAATTCTCCACTGGCTGATAAAAATGATACCTCAGCTTTCAATGTATTCTACAGCAAACGATCACAATAATTACAACAGTAATAAAAATTTTTGATTAGAAGATTACATTCTTTTATTATAGAAAATTTATCGTTAAATCTTCAACTTACACTATGTTTTTCCGTAACATGCAAAGCAAAATAAAACCATTCTGGATTAATTGAATCCAACGGTTTTATAACATCTTTCTTCACAAGTGGCCAAAAATCCTTTGCAAATTTCTTTTCTCGCAATTTGTTCGCACATTGAGCCAATAAATTAGTTGCCGAATATGCCAAACCGCTTTGTTTCTCTGCTAAGCTCATTTCTCGTTTTGCTATTTCACTTAGAGCCTAAAAACTGATACGATTTAATGAAACAAGATAGGAAATTAACCGAAAAATTCTAAAAATGAATATAAAGTATAAAAGGGGAAGTGCAAAGATATATGCCTCATTATATGCATTGCTGTTCACCATAGCCAAATGAAATAAGTGTTGACCCAATATTGAACCATGATTTTCCTGAAATAAGATATTCATAAAGACTATGAGTCATAAAAAGTGCGAAAAA